GCTACGTGATCATTGAAAGTATGAAATCTGAATCCGACTCCGGTGTCTCATAACTACAACTCCGAGAATCCGACTCCAACTACAATGAAAACACGCCAAACACCCGGCCCAAAAGCTATATATTTAAACATATAACATCATGTTTTTGGATCATTTACAGTTGGCTTGCCTGGGGAATACTGTCGCCGATTCTACCCTTGACCAAATATATATTACAATACGTTCATGGCGAATTCCATTACTTAACATATAAACAACCGTAGTTTAAGTATATTTTACGTTTAACTTGCCCATGAATTATTCAAGTGCCGTTACGTTTAATCGCTTGACCTTAATAGTACGTGTAAACAGTAGTAAATTTCAACATAACTTGATTTCAAACCAACTGGGAATAGTTTCATCTTAATTCTTAGTCATGATAGTAAGCTATGACTCTTTTATGCATTTAATACAATCAATATGGCTATTGATTAAATTGTTTTGGAATTAGTCCTATCGAATAGGGTTGAATAGAATTTGTCAGAATAGGACAGGAGTGTGTTCATATGTACCATATATGCATCCCAGGCGAGAGAAAAGCCAACTAGACGATTTAATATTCCGACCCGCTCAATAATGTAGTGGCGTCGGTGCTCCCGAAGTATTCGTACCAAGATGGCGCATAACCTGAACATAGTATGTGTACCAGGTTAGGGTTGTTCAGGTTGTGCGTCATCTTGGTACGATTACTTCCGGAGCACCGTGGCGTCTTGTGCAGAACGTTGCACGGAGTGAAATCGTGTACATAAATATTTTTGATCAGATAATGAATATATGTCGTTCGTAAAGCGTTGAAGTTCACAGGTTCGAATCCCGTGGGTGAGAATTATGTGCGAGAGGATTACTGAACTCCCCGGGTGGTAGGGTGGTCCGCTTGACCGCTGGTCGGTTACGGCTTTCATATGTTTAACTATTGAGTATTAACCATACCCTTGGTAACTGGACTGGGATGATTAAACTTTCCTTGATCGACTTTCCTCCGTCTCGCGCTCATAAGGAAAAACCTATTCCTACATTACCTGATTACATCAACAAATTTTGGCATCGTTTTGATAAAACGAAGAAACTATTGATTGTAAACTATTGCAGTGTTCATAGATTGACATTAATATGTTACAGACTTTTGTTTAAGTTTCTGCTCTGTTGAATTCCGCATCGATTTATTTTATATGCCAAGATATTTGAGATTTACATTATATTACAATGCAGTACATATGTATATGAAATTTTTTTAAACGTTATCAAAGATTCGCCAAAACCGAAAGAAATTCGAAATTGTATTTTCGAATTTCTTTCGGTTTCGGTTGACATTCCGCGAACCACGATGTTTCACAATATGTGCAATCCTAGTGCCGTATCTTTACCATCTAATCCTTAAAATCTTGCTGTACGCCAGCACAAATAAGCCTTTATCGATATTCGAGATTTTTCCGATTTATTTCCGATCAAAAACACCTAATCAAGCCGTTTTGGGATATGATTTATAAATTTGTAACGTCTTCCAATTTTTTTCCTTTGATCATACCCAAATCAGTTTATAATGAAATTTCAAAAAACAATCAACAACACGGAAGTAGATTGTATTATTTTTAATTAGTTCCGCGTTCAGATCACAATAGGTCAAACTTGGTCATAGATGAGTTGTCATTTCCGAGTGAATATTTTGCGTGGATCACGCTTGGTTGTTTAAACAATAATGAAAGACTTGAATACCTTTTCACTGAATGCTAGTTTAATCGCGTGACAGATTTTATAAACTGTTGTGCTAACTTTCTGTGCTAAAATTATGATAACGGAAAAAGGAAGCACATTTGTTTACAGTGTGTTACAGCTTCATGCTGAAAGCTCGAAAACACTCTACAAATGCTACAACTACATTTACGATATCCAAACCCGTTTTCATTGCTATTCCAATTCCCCTTTCTTATTTAGGACTTTCGTCAGTTATTTGTTTTTGAATGGATTTCTGTTGGACCGACAATTTGTTCTTCTTCTTAGCTTTTACGGGGTGGTTCCGTATGTATATGATGCAAGGATGCTGTAGCAGCAGTACAAATCACTTTTATCTGTCAACAAATGTAAAATCAATTCATATGTGCCTGGGCAACATCATGCGTCCCTAGCATGTTAGGAAAATAGTAAAGATAAAATTAGTAGGCCTTATTATATTTATAATACATTCTGAATACTCGCCAGAAACGTACCTTGCAGTTGTATTTATAGATGCAAAATGCTAACCTGTTAGCTGTTATTGTCAGTCACTAATTTTGCTATGGTAAACATTTCAGGAAATTATCTAATATCGGGCCGTAACAGTCTACTCGGGACTTGGTAACTTAAAAATGAGCGAGAAAGTCTTAGATGCTATTTTATGTCTAAAGTTATAGGAAAGCTTCTTCGAATCCGAAATATGCTAACAAATTCCTCCGAACTTTTACCAGCAACACATTGAGTTTTCCTGGGACTTCTTTTACGCCCTGGAATTGACCTTTCGCCTTTTGATCTCGACAAATGCTGAGCTTTTAACACTATCAGTTCCGTCTACGTCATAAAATCCATTTAGACCGATACGCGTCGGATTCCAACCCTGTCTATGGTGGCTTCATCCAAACATGGTCCTTACATAAAACACTTCAAGAGTTTTTGAGTTATATTATGGCCGTACTTGAACTTGGATTCTTCAAATAGGAAGTCAAAACAAAATGCATTTTTGCATCGATCGTACGTTTAAATTGTTGATGTTTCTTCTTGGCATCGTATGGTCCCGTCAAAGGTAGTTCTCAACATATTTGAAAAACTTTTTTGTTGGCATTCGATCGGCCTATGTTGGCGAATTGCGTATTATTTGATTTAATGTGTTATTATCTAATCGCCAAACTCGATTCGAATACATAAATTTGGAATTCCGCTCCAATGCAACTCCCAACTGATAAAGCTTCCGCGATAGCCTAAAAAATAATCAATTCTTCCAGTCGATAGGAACAGATCGGCGCTTATTCACGAGTTTGATTAAAAGGAGAAAACTGATACAGAGCTACGTATTTTGACTACACGATGCTCTATCGAAATACTAATTGCGCATTAGCTAGGTAAGAAAACAGGTGCCAGTATTTGTTTAACAGTCATCTGTATAATTTTATGCTGATTGCAGTACGTAACCTGATATAAGTACGTATGAGGGCTCCAGCGAATCATTATCGAAAAATCTTATGCAGTCTCAGTCTTTTGGTATTGAGCTAAAAGAATTCGGGACTGGCTCAATCGAATTTTGTAGATACCGGAGTCAAGTTTTTTTCATCTCGGAGACGAGGTCGACTCCACAACTCCGTATTCATCGTCATATTATTACATTGTCATCTTAGCACAATACTTATATTTTCGCTATTCGAGATAGCTGGGAACCCCGTAGCAACACAGTCAGTTTCGCCGGATGATGTTGTACAGACGCTTGAGTTGAGTAATGTATTGTACCGTGATAACCCATGCAATTTTTAACAATTTGTCTAAATATAGAACTCTTTTGTGGATGTTATGGCAATCAGGCGAAACGCCCCCACTGAACGCCTATTCAAGCATGACTCGTTAACTATATTAGCCTTTTCTGAATCCTAACAGCTATTTCTGTCCTTATATTTGTCTACTATCTGGTGGCTGTTATAAATATGGACGCTGTCATATGTCCTCTTATTGCAATAACATTTTAAAAATATCATAATATGTGATGTTTCAAAAAGTGTTGCTCATCTTGGATCGTATTTTTAATTTATTTAGTTTTGCCCCATTTTTTTTTCTTGTAATTCAATACATGAATTTTTGTAAATTTTTTGCGTCGGTGTTGATTTCAATTTTCGGAATATTTGTAAATGGTATATATTGTAACGCAGAAAAGTGGTTAGGTCTATATTTTAGAATTTTAGATGACTATTTGTATTATAATACATGCAAAACTCGTAAGAGCGGACGACTTAGTTGGTCAACGCTTCGAATGTCTATACAGACAAACTTCATCACAACAATGAATAAAAATGTACGGATTCGAAAATTGGATAACCTATATCGTTTACTGCTTACTAGTACGTGCAATAATTTAAATAAGCATAGTAGCAATCACTCGCTAGACTTTTTATTTTATACCTTCGCAGGGAGCCAATTTAGGCCATTTCCATATATTGATATAATTTTTTTTCTGGTTCGAGAGTTTATTTAAATTGTGATAATTTGTAGATAACTTTCTATTGTCATTTCGTGTAAAATTAGACTTCTTTGCCAAACATCGTTCCACATGGGAAACCAACCATAGCATCCAGCCGTACTTATATAGTCGTATTTTTAGTTCTAATTTAGCGTAATTGGACACGTATTGGCTCGAAATAGTCGTGTTAGGATCCTCGTAAACAATATGTATTATTGCAGTAGTGAATAGTAAGTTAGCTTATAATGGAGTACTTTTAGTACTTGTGCAGTGAGAAATGTTGACAGAATTATTTCACTAAAAGACCATATTTTTTTTTTAAATAATGGACGTAGGCATTTTTGACAATTCAATCGTAAACGCAAATTTACGCATTTCGATTAGGAAGTTAGAATATAGGAAAGGTTCGAATCAAGTACAGACTGACCAAAATAAAACAGATTTACGAAAACGAAATTTATTTAAAACTTTATAACTTGTGCTTGTATATAATACTACCCAAAAGTTCTAATCTAGAAAGCTTTATACAAAAGTTATGTTCTTTCTAGGTTTCAAATGGCCTGGGTTCTGTTTTTAGGTCACGCTGTATGTTATAATATTATTGATACATGTAAGGTTCTAATATAAGATGATCTTGATACCAAGACGAACGATGGATTTACATTCGTTGATTGTTTCTGTTCTCTTTAGGGAAATTCTTACTGTCCCAACGCGCCCATTTGACATCGATTTGCTTTACCTAAATGACCGATTTTTGTTTATTTTTCAATGTACCAGCTTGTCTAATGCTATTTGGGCGTAACGTAACTCGAACATATGCATTGCAACCACATTTAGCTAACGTCCGGTAGAAAAAAGGCCGCAATTATTTTGGCCAGCGAATAATACTGTTTATGCGCCTCTTTGTGAGTGTGATATACTGGAATACCAAACGGAAGTAACCATACCACACACTGCTGTTATTATCGACGTACAGTCAGTAAGGTAGCTAGACTGTGTTAGTTGCTTGTCTGTCTGCTCTGAAAGAGACGATCTTTTCCGTCAATACAAAGACAAAACTGGAATATATTTTGAAGTGATATTATACGATACAAACCAGCATCATGAGTATGTTCCCTTTTAAATTCGGGAAGTCGAAGGAATCCTCGCATAAGTCGCCAAAGACTTCCAAAGAAGACCATTTGAATAACAGTAAGTTTGTATTTATTACTATTCAATATATTATTATAACGATCTACAATACATTATTGTCATTTCAATCAATTTTATTACCGATAATCGTCAACTTTTTTTCCTATTCGTATTTTAGTTTTGGCAAATCGAGAATTTGATTTTTATACTTCATTAAATAAACAAGTATTACAATAGTTTTATGTCTCAGTGATTGTCATTATTCATTTCAGAATTGTGTTAGGTTATGAAATTTTATTTTAAATAAAAGTATTCAGATCTGATTTCGTTGATCCCTTTCTAAACGGCGTTATTATGCCAGTTACAGTGACTTAAGGGTACCGATGTGGCTTAAAATTTTCTTTTGGTCATATTGTAAGACCTCCATTGCTCAAATGAAAATTTGATAATCAAATGTAAATATTTCAAAATATTACTACAATCAAAAATTCAAAATATCGAATATATTTATTTTCGAAGCCTTCAAAATATTCAATTCTTTTTGAACATTGGTGTACCTTCATTTTATATACACATAAATACAAGGATCAGGTCTAGTTTGCGATCATTTCTTTCTTCCATTGTATGCTCTATCTATCCGGATAAAACATTTTATCTGATTAAGCATTATAAATAAATGACCCGTACATAATTGTGTCTTATAATGCCACATATGGCCAAACATCCAACCACCAAATCGAGTAATCTCCTCAGAATGCTAATTGCTAATTATACAAATTTTGCAATTCATTATAGGATTTATGTATCTTTAATTAACTACACATAATATGTCCAGTTTGTTTGTTACGAGATAATGAAGGCCGTGTATAATACTATTTGTAATTATACATACCATACATATACGATGCCAGAAGCTCAGGTTATAATTATGTCTAGAGGCTCTAGCCATACGGCTTAACGATCACTGAAGAATATTCAATGAATAATACACTATTTAATTGGTACCAGTCTCAAATATTTAAAAATTGCTACAATAACTTAATGCTTTTTTTCCGTATTTCTACATTTTCATTGTGTCTAGCTGCTATAGTTGTCCACATCTAGTTTACATTGTTGCATACCGGTATTTTTTCGTTTTGATCGATTCTCATTAACGAGTTATACTAGTTTAAATTTGAGAGTTCCAAAATCATACTATGGCCTGATACTAATATTTCGGTCTAATTGGTATATATATAATTTTATGTTTGCCAATATGTATGACGTAATTATATTGATGGCGTCATTTTTCAAGATTTATTGTTATTTTGAATATGTGTTCGAATGCGGATTCTTGTCTCCAGCAAGAATTTTCATGTAAAATTGGTTTATTGATTCTCGGATAATCACTGGTCATATTTAAACCGCATTTTATTATTGATGAGTTCTCAGCCGACTGCGATGACTTGTTCGCCATTGAAATTATGATGCAAATTGGAAATAAAATATTATACTATCCATTTGGGGCTGTTTTTCCCAATCTGGGAGGAATTTTGAGTTTTTTTTTTTTTTTTTGTGGGGGGGGGGGTGGTTTGTATTTGCGTATAATAATAATAAAAAAGTCTGAGTATAAGTTGCTCGTAAGTCGTAACACTGGCTAACGGTCTATTAACGACTTCCGCGCAGTACTTCGAGAATTGAAGAGTTTAAAATAGGCGAATGTTGGAATAATTTCTAGTATTGAGATATATGGTAGTCTTAGTCTACCACTGAGATTCCCGGGCTTAGCTTTATTAAAAAGATGGTGATTCAACTTTAATATGCTCTACCAATTACTCAGAAATTTTGGTGAAATGTGCCGTTTTCTTGTGATTCTCTGAGCTTTCGTGATCCGTAACGTTACATTGTATCAAGCTGTGGTTGACCGCGAGTTTGGTGTTTCTCGGCGCGGCAAATAGTCTGAAGTATATTCGAAAGCGTTTAACACCCAGCAGCCAGCACCTTCAGCGAATATTCATATATTTTTACCTGTCATTCAAACTGAGCAAGATTGCTTTTTGTTTATGCTATTGAAAAAATTCGCGTGTTATCAGAATTTTAAAGCTATCACGTGTCCCAGAAAAAAGTCGTATCTGAAATTTGTTGTGGATTATATTTGGATTGCACTTTATTTTGCGTTTTTTCAGTAAATAAGCTGATTAAGTAGTAAGCTTTAAGAAATTTTGATCTACTTTAAGTAGTTCGATCCAAAATATCATTTTCGGTATCAAGTTTTTTCGGTGATTTTGATAAAGCCTCTTGAGCCACTTAGAAACGTCACTGCAGGTATTTTATCTGTTATTTTCGAACGTTTTATTCTTGAGTGGAGTAGCTCGTGCTACTGCTCTTTTCTGCCCGCGTTTGTGTCGGTCGATCGGAATACACGAGTTGCAGGGATACCGTGAAAAGAAAAAAAACGCCCAAATTTATTGGGTAGATTGTCTTCACCTTTCGCATTTTCACAAACTGTCTTTAATCCTGTAGCAAAAATTCGTATTACGTTTACAAAATAATATTCTAGGTGGTGTATTGTAAAGACTTTGACCACTTGTTGAGAACGGTGACCCCAAGATAGTACACAAGACTGTGGGTCGGGTGAATTTTTAACTCCCGGATTTTCCAGATTGACAAAAATTTGACTCCAAATCCAGGTTCAAAATCTGAAAAAAATTCGAAAATTTGGCGTATGCAAATCTTCCTTCAATAAACTGTTAAGAACGCTAATTAAACCTAAATAATGCGTTCTAGGTGTCTGTGGAAATTTTTACGCAATGAAAGTATGAAATTCTTACTACCGATTTTAGGGAAATCAAATATTCGACTCGGTTTGAAAATACGACTACGCTTTCCACGTCTCAATTAATTCCCGTTATCTTTATGGACTCTCGATTTCATTTGATTGATGTCCGTATCGGGTCGATGCGATTGTGTATTCGGTGGCATATGGCCTGCTTATTGAAGTCCTCTAGGCATTTGAATTCATTGTAGAGAGCAAAATCTGCGTGGGAGGCTTTTGGAAGGTCGTTGGAGTTGACATCATCATTGTATTTAAAAAATGACCAATGCAGATTTACGTAGAAGCGTGAAATTATACTGGCGTATTTGAACGTAACTCCATCAGGCTTTATCATTTCTAAAACTCTATATTAAGCGCTTCTGGGCAAATTTATTTTTCAAACGTATATTTCAGAGTTTAAATTACTGGAGTGATTTTAATTGGGGTCAAGCATTATATTGTTATTAGGCACACATTTCAAAATGTTTAATTGTGAATGTTTCATAAAACAAAATTCTTATTTCAAAACTATCAATTCTTCCCATATTCAATATTTGAATGCATTATTTCCTATTCCATGCTGTAGACTTGTTTTTACAGGGCTACCCAGTTCGTTCAGATGAATGTTAGAATTTACACCCTGCTAAGTGCGAGTCATTTAAACGAACCCTTACTCCGGATTCACAAAAATTTCGACTTGGAATCTAGGTTGAACTTTGACCCTGGATTCAGAACTCCGAATAAAATTTGCTATCAAAAACAAAGCTATATTCAAGCCTCTTTTAATTGCATCTTGGGAATGTTTATCAACTTGAAGTCCCAATAAAATTCTTGAATTCAGACTCTGAATATTTAAAAATGTTGACTGTGGTGACGGCCCCCTCCCGATTCCGAGGAATTTGACAATACAACTTCAACCCCGCGATCATTGAAATCATGCCGGATCTCCAGGCTCTTCAGACATGAATGTTTCCATTCGTTTTTTGTGGAATGCCGTTATCATCCGTTGGATGGCGCTCTTCGACAATACTTCCTGGCGCAAATCCACGCGCCAAGCTCAGTCAATCTAGCATTAATCTATCTCATTAACCTTACGATTGGTTTTACTGGAATTGTCATCGTAGCCTAATCTGTAACAACAGTGACGTTAAAGCTGAAATCATTATTTGTCTATCTGCTTTGTAGAATGCAACGCATCATCCATCACCAATTCTAAATGGCCGTCAATAAACGAGATAGTTACATATGTCAAAATACAATGCAGCACCGTCAAACGGTCCCGTCGATCATTTTCGTCAATAAAATCTGAGTTGACGTCACGGTGACGCAAATCATCGTAATTGTTGTTTGATTCCGACGATCATTGTTACTCGGCCGCCGCGTTTCTATTCCCTGCCTATCTCTGGCCATGGTACAAGTCGCTCGCAGCCAGCACATAGCCGTCTTAACTATCTTAGTATAAAAAGAAAATGTATTTTCACTGGGTATAATGCGAACATTGTTGTCAAACGATTTTGTTCATCTGAAATTTGATGAATTTAATCGTAACTGTGCAGTGTAATAGTTACGTAATGTTTGGTTTTGCACATTTTTGTATGTTTTGTTACAGATATCCCAAAGTTTTCGTAATTTCATGTTATGTTATGGACCATTCTTTCGTTCAAATAATTTGTAAAAACTGAAGAACGAACGATGATTTATTTACAGAACCCAAAATTCAACTGAAAAATCGTAATTCCGAACGGTTTTTTGAATAATAGTACTGAACCACTAGCTACCATTTAAGATATATCAGTATGGCGTAGGGATAGTATAATATGGACCCAATTACTTGCCGAATAGCGTCCAACGAAGAGCATTTTCAATGGTCATATAGGTAGCAAATTTGATCTTCAAAGAATTTACCTACACAGGATTTGTATGTGTTCTTTTAATGTTATTGTATTTCTCCAGGCAGAATGAAAAATTATAATGAATATGGCAAGAACTGTGTTAACTTGTTTTTCGTGTCGTAGTGATAGTATTAAAAGTATACCATCGCTGATAACTCCATTATAATTATTCTTTATCGGTCACAGTCGTTTCGTATCATAGTGACCTCTGGGAATACAAAATACGTTTGTCATTTCGCAACACTCAATTTTACTAATAACCATGTTTCACCAATCATGATCCTCGTATAATTTATCCCTTTTATGTGCGACCCATTCCATTTTATTATCAAAATGATATTCATGAAATTTCTGAAGATTGTATCGGGTAGTCG